GCAGGTAACAGCAATAGGAACACAGAATACTGTCTTCAAGACTCACTTTAGAGGGAAGGATAAGTTAAAATGTTACAATGTTCTTCTCTGTTTAAGTGGCCTTTTTCAAAAGTTTTAATGATGTTCCAAATTTCTAGTAAGGTTGATTCTGTCAGTCATTGCTAGATTTTTCAGTTTGGGGGGAGGGATATTGTCCAGAGATCCCTACCTTGCCATTGTCACTGACATCCTTATCAGTGCACTTTTCTTCAAAAGCACAGTCTGGCACAATTTTATGAGCCATTATTATATAGTTGAAATGTTTTGTTTTGGTCTACCCCACTTGTGCACTAACAGAAGACAATCTGAACCCTGGGCCGTGTTCTATACCAGTTTTGTTCTCAGTATTTTTGCCCTTTGATTCTGTGGATGAGCCATTTGACAGTGATTCTAGAACTTTATACACGTTATTTAAAGAATTTCTTTCTTCAGGTTCTTTCTTTCTAATTCTCCCCAACTCTTGGCTTGGGTTCACTTAATGTGATGTGTGAATAGTTGAAAGATATCCCACTACATCAGCCATATTGGTGGAGAGTAGGACTGGCACCAATCTGCTGTTGTTTGCTTATGGACAGGTGAGCCTAGTTGCTAAGATTTCCTCCCAGTCTTCTCAGGAGCAGCACCCTGTTGGGAGGGTGAGGCCATTGCCCTTTTGCCATTTTTGCTTTTTGCTGGCAGTGCTGATTAACAGGGTTTACACCACAGTCTCCATGCCTGATCGGGAGTGGTAGTATCATCAGAATCTGTCTGACTTCAAGGGGGATAATGACTAGGATCAGCTCAAAGCTGATTCCCCTGAGGTGGAGGTTTCTAACCTTTTTACTAGTTCTGAACCCAGCTAACCCTCCCACAGCACTCTTTACTTTTATGTTCAGTTCAATAATCCATTGCATTGGTCACACAGAACTCACAGACTATACTTCGAGTTAAAATGGTTTATTAAGGAAGTAACAGGGTATAACTGAGGATCAGAATCAACAGGCTACAACTCAGGATCAGGATTAGGAAACACATAGGCAGAGTGTCCCTTCTTTAGTACAGTACAGCTCTGTCACCTCCTCTTGGCTGCGCAGGCCTCCTCTCAGCCCCCTCAGAACAGGTTTCCTCTCAGCTTCCTCAGAACAGGCCCTTCTCAGTACCCTCAGGACAGGCTACTCTTGGCAATGTGATCTGTCACCACCAAGTTTGCTGCTGCTGTTGTTGTTGTTGTTATTTGCCGTCGAGTCGGCCCCGACTCATAGCGACCCCTCCTTGGGTTTCCGAGGCAGTATCACTACGAAAGTAGGATTGCCCAACCTTCCTTCCGAGGAGTGGCTGGTGGGTTTGAACCGCCAGCCTTCTGGTTAGCAGTCAAGTGCCTTAGGCACTATGTTTGCTGCAGGACCCCTTAAAATCTTGTAGTCACTTACTCTACCGCTCCTGGGCCTGTCACCATCAACTGTGCTGCTTCACCCCCTTCTGAGCCTGTCACGGTCTTTAGTGTTACAGCTCTTGACCCATGTTGCAGTTGTTTGAGAAGGTTCCTTGCCTCCTTTCTCTCTGCTTCTCTCTACCCTCTCACATTTTCTCCTTCCTACCTCTTTCTGCTTCCTGTCTGAAAGACCTCTGTGAATAAATTTCCTGGTCAGTTTTAAGGCATGACCTTCCCACGAGGGCTACAAACTGACCAATCCCCTCTTGGTATCCCACAGACACTTCACTTGCATGCTAGTCTATAGTAACTTCATTTGCATAGTCTATAGTCATTTCATTTGCACAGTATAGTCACTAATCCTTGCAAAGTGCATACCAGTCACAGGGCAGGCTGTAGCCCAGGACCAGATAAAAAATATCAAACCACAGATTGTTTGTAGCTCACCCAGGAAATGGCATTCAACCTAGACAAAAGTAATGAACCCTCTGGGGTAGAAAACTGGGGCAAAGGTAACTTCTCAGGGCTTAGGGGGAAAAGTATCTTGAGCTGTTTTTCAAAAGAACCAAGTCAAAGGGCCATATAAAGGAACTCATTTCACCACGGGGAGGGAGAGGGACATGGGTCTTCCTTGGCATTAGGGTTCCATTCTACAGGGCCTCCTTTTCTTGTCCTATATAGCCTCTGCTGGCTAGAGAAAGTAGATTCATTGGGCCTCTTATACTTTTTTTTTCTGCACTCTTTATTGATTCTGGGTTGTAGGTTGCTCTGGTGGTTAGGCTGGGATACACAGGCAAAAATGAACCCCAGAAAACTCATCAGCAGGTCCCTCATAGAGTCCTGAAGTCCTTTCCTATTGTGCCTTCTTTCCATACTCAGAATTTTCTGATAGTTGCATTATGTGTTAGGTTCTGAGCTTTAAATTGTAATTAATGGGAGCATTTGGGTGGAATATGCTTATCATGATTAGAGCAGGAACCTCATTCTCACAAGTGTTTATTGAGTGAATAATTAAATGAATACATGGATCTTCTCTTCACATTGTTTGTAGGGTTTATGATAAAGAATACATGGATGTCAGTATTACAATAGGTATAATGCTAAGACAATTAAGATAAATTTATATGAGAACTTGCAAAATGGATATAGAGAAGATGTCCTCTGACCTCCTCTTATTTCATGAAGGGGATTCAGAATCACCATCAGCAGCATCAGCCCAAGGCTGATCCCTACAAAATATAGGTCAGAGATACCACCAGCTCTCCAGTCTTTTTTTTTTTTTTTTTTTAACCAATTCTGATACAAACTGTCCCTCCCATGCAACTCTTTTCTTTTTTTGCTGATTCAATATTTCATTGCAGTAGCCACACAGAACTCACAGATGATACTTGTGAGTATGAGTTTAATTAAGATGGTAATCTGTCACAATTCAGGTTCAGGAACACTCAGGATACAATTCTTTGAATCAGGACACCGTCACCTCGGCTATGTGCACAGGCACACCTCTCTTTGGCCCTTGGCCTCTTGACCTGACCTCTGGCCTGCTCAGGCAGGTGTTACAAAGCTCTTTTAGCTCTGCTGATTAGCATACTCCATTCCACCAGCAAGCCTCCTGCCCCCAGGTACTCAGCTTTCTTGCTATGTGGGCTGGCAAGCCCACTGCTCTGTCTTGTGCCAGTCTTTTGGTTCTGCTGCCTCTATTGCCACTGTCTCTCTGCCATCTCTGTGCAGGGATCTTTGGTCCAAGGACACATTCTATGCTTGCTGTTGCTTCTGTCTTGATGGTAGTGAGACCCCCCATTCTGCCTCTGGGATGGCTCATTTTAAGCCTAGTGATATGGCAAACTGACCAGTTTTCCACATTATGGTTCCATATACCTTATTTGCACAGTCCCATGCCCACATTATTAACAAGCTATCCAATCCCTTGGTGGGCCACAAGCACCTTACATTTGCATATTTTCCGCCAGTCATCTGGTGGCAGTTGCAAAGACCATGGCTAGAAGAGCCATATTAAATAATTCACTGTACCACAGAGCTCATAAGCAGAAGAATGAGAAATTATTTCTAGCTATTAGGGAGTAGGGTATATAGTTGGTGAAGTCATCAAGATTCCAACTAAATATGTCATTAAGTGAAATCTTAAAAGATGGGTGGACTTTGAACATATGAAAATGGGGGAAAAACACATTCCAGGCTGTGAAAATTGCATTAACAATCAGCATTAGCAATTACATGGATTTGAGAAGTGTAAGGTTCATTATGTAGAGGTATATCAAATACATTTGTAACTGTAGTGCAGGCTCTATGAAAAGGAATAATAAGAAACAAAAAAATGTAACGTGGGGCTAGGAGCAGTCAGTTTTCTCTCTGGCTAGCCTGTTTCTCTGCGCTAATTGTGCAAACCAGTCCAGGGAATCTGAGATCACTCAGATTGTGCCAAATTGTGTGGTGGATAATGTATGCTATCTGCATCATTTGGAAACTTCAGCTTCCCTTCCCTGTTCAGATCAGATCCCAGCTGCTCACGTAGTTCTTTCTACCTCCTGCCCCAGAGCTGAGTCAGTAGGTACTGGCCACAAGCTTGGGAGTCCCTTTCCTTCCATTTCAGACCAGTGGCCTCTTCTTTTTCTCATCCTAAGCCACTCAGAAATGGGTCTGTAGTTACTGCTGGCAAGCTCAGGAGTCCACATGACTCCCTCTTCTTCAGACCAACTGTCTCCAAACCTGGGAATTTTCTCTACCTTCTCAGGGTAACAACCACAAGCACAGGATGCTACATGACTCCACTTCCCTGGCCTGCTTCCTTTGCTTCTTTGGATGCAGTGGAACAACTCACAGAGTTCACAGTAGACACCATACCTGAGATAACAAGTTTAATATAACAAAAAAGCATAGAAAGGAGGCCTGGCTCTTAGCCCAATAGTAAACAAGATGTACACGCAGACCACTCAACCCAGGGTGATGCACCCACATACTCTATGGAAATGCATCCCTTGGAGCAATCCACCATGGGGCACTAGAGGGGCAACAGTTTGCACAGAGGAAATGCAGGACGTACAGAAGTGCATAACTATGAGGGGCAGGGGGGCGGTTACTGGACAGGGAGGGGAGGAGACTGTGTTAGGGTCGGGGATGGTAATTGGGGAGTGAAACCAAATGAACATGAAATTTTGAATGTAAAACAAACTATGCTCTATAAACTTGCACCAAACGCACAATTTTTTTAAAAAAAAGGATAGAAAGGAGGGGTCTCAGTGCAGAGTTTCCATTTTCGCATGAGATTGACTTACCCACCTGAGAGCAGATGTTTACTCTCTCCAACCTGGAAGCTCCATCTGAGCCTCTGTTTCCAAAGCCTCATTGACTTCATCATATGACCATGATAAATTACATTATACCTCCTGATGTTTATTTAGTTGTATTGGGCTGCAAGTGACCCTTTGTCCTCAAGTCTCTTAGGAATCCAGAATAAAAGGCCAAATTATTTTCTGTAGCTCACAGACTATCATTTAATATTTATTAATCATAGAATCTTTTAATCCTACAGAGCTGAAGAAAGAAGAGATCTTTTCATGTTTTTCAGAAGCCTGCACTTTTTTGTGGAGTGGTGCGACTATCGTAAGCGCACATTTAAACATTTCAAGGTAAAGTCTTGTATTTAATCATATGTGGAAAATGAAACAGATATTAACTTGAGGATTCTACCATAACATTCTTTCCTTAAGGTTTCCAAAGAGTAGAAAACATTTTCTTTGGCTTCTGGAATTTCTGATTATTTGGAATGAGTAAAGGAGGGAGTGCTTCTGTAAAAGTTCTTGAGACATTTTATCATGGAATATTTTGAGAAAGTGCAGTTGTATCCTTATTGATTTTAATATATATATTTTGAAACTTCAATCTGTCAAGGGTATGTAAAATGATAAAAGCTAATAAAGATTGTAATTGTAGTAAGCTTATCACATGGCAGTATAATCTTCATTTCCTGAGCCACACTGTTTTGAGTTTCTTAATTATTGTAACATTTCAAGTTTAAATATGGAAGACTGGTTCTCATGAAGTAATGCTTGTTATGTCTGAGAGAGGTACTTTCAAAGACACCTTTTTATTCCCTTTGTTTTTTTTTTTTGTCACAACTAGAATATATTTGGCTTCATTTAATACCCTAGGTAATACTAAGTTGGATAACATCTGATTATTGACAGCAGTGATCAATTCTAAAAGAGTAGCCATAAATAATATCTCAGGTTCTCTCAAAAACCTGGACAGGTTATGATGATTGCTACTCAAAAAATTTGGTCTTTACTTTTGACTTCTACGAGTCTTTTCTGTCCTTGAGTGCTCCAAATCATATCTGAAGATTTATGCTAGTGAGCGACTCTTGTTGACTGGGGACTGGCCATGCCAGAAAGATATCAGTCTGACTTCAGGGGAGGCGGAGGTCTGGAGGTTGAGCTCAACCAAGTGTTCAGTGATTCAGTCAATCAATTTTGCCTACCTAATGAGATTGCAATCAAAGTTTTAAACACTGAATGTCTGTGTGCTTACTAGTTGGTGAAAGGAACAGTGTTTGAGAGGGTGATGTGTCACGTTTTTGAGACTTGGAAGCTCTGCACTGGAGACCCACCCCTTCTTCCCTGTGTGCTTATTTTGTATCCTTTTTGCTGTAATGACACTAAAATCATAAATATAGTACTTTCTTGAGTTCTGTGAGTTATCCTAGTGAACTATCAAACCCAGAGATATAATGGGAATCCTGGATTCATAGCCAGCAAGTCAGAAGTGGGGTCTGGGGAACTTTGAGCTAATGGTTGCTATCCTGAGGGATTAGAGGAATTTGTAGCCAGCAGGGAAGAAGTGAGAGTGTTCCTGTGGCTTCCAGCCAAACAAAAAACAGGCATATGAGCTGAACATTTAAAATAGGTAGATAAACTCCTTGGAGAGATCAGTCATGGGAGAATAGAAGGACTGTGTATGCACAGGGAGACAGCTTGAGAGACAGGAATGCATGGGAGGGAAGGACACAGGGAAGAGGTTACTGGGAAGGAAGTAGGAGCTCTTGTACTGTGGTAAATTGTAGTAAATGTCATGAGACAAAGTGTATGTGAGCTGCTGTATGTAAAGTGAATTTGCTCTGTAGCCTGTCACCCAAATCACAATATTTTTTTTTTTTTTTTTTTAAAAAGAAGGAGTGAGAGTATCATGAGGACCTTCAAATATGCAACTGGCCTCTGATATCTTGGGCAAATTTGACAGTCTAGAAGACTATGAGAAGTGACCTAATTTGGTGGTTGAGGTCAGAGGAAGAAGTACTGCATTTGCATTTCGTATATAGTTAGGTTTAGAGTTAGTTGGTGTGTGCTGGAGGAGGCACACATACAAAGAGACACCCTACACATGTACTATCTCTCTTTTACTTTGAATTCAAGCATTGTATTTGATTGCGCTGATAAAAACTAGGTCTTTCAACTGGTTCAGTCATGACCTTTGAAGCAAAATCAGAACAGACTTGAATTTGTAAAATTTAGGTGAAGCGGAAGAATAATCAGAACATGAAAAATTATGGGTTGAAACCCTGGAATAGGAGACTCAGGAGGCATAGCCTTTTGTGGGAGATTGGATTATTGCCAGGACTGTGGAGGGCGACACACTTTCAAGAGAGTTGAGTGGCTGCCATCTTTGATTAGGGCACCTCTGTTTCTGACTTTGCTAGTCAACTGATTTGGTTGCTATACTACACATACTGCCCTTGTTTTATAAGGAGATTAAATTTCTAGCAGGGCATAGACCAGTAATTTTTCCCGTTGTGTTTTCACCCACATTTTACAAATTCAAGTCCATTCTGGTTTCACTTTGTTAGTCGTGACTAAACCAAGAAGAACTGGTTCAAAGCCCTGATAAAAACTATCAGGTTTTATTCTATTTTATAGGATTTTCTCTATGGAAACAGGATAGTACCTGTACTATGGTCCTTTGTGGTTAAAGCATTTGACTACTAACCAAATGATTGACAGTTCAAACTCAGCAGCTGCTCTGCAGGATAAAGATGAGGAAATCTGCTTCTGTAAACATTTAAAGCCTTGGAAACCCTATACGGAAGTTCTTCTCTGTCCTTTAGAGGTGCTATGAGTCAGAATTGATTCGAAGGCTGAGTTTTGGGTGGTCCTTTGAGAAATTGTCATGATTCTTTTATGGCTGTTCTCAAGTTATTGTGCTAAAACAATGACCTATTTCTCTTTATATTTGATAAATATAATACAGATTAGAAAGTATTCTGGCAGATCAAGTAATGAATAAATTAATTTGGCCTTTTACTTGTGCATTTCAGTGGATGGTGAAAAATATGTATTTATAATCCTCTTTCCTGGAAGCTGATTTACCTTTCTCTGCAGGTATAGAACTATAATTCTTGCATATTTTCTGTAGTGGATAGAGCAGTTCTAGGAGCTGGACGTTGCTGGTGATAAGATTTACTAGAATGGAAAAGAGCAACAACAAACTAGTGTTTATGGCTTGTCTCTTTCAACAGACAGTGCATAGACGCTACACTCCAGCTAGTTTCCAGCTAGGCTAATAGGCCACATACCCCAAAGGGATAAAGTAGAAACATGATATGAGTACATGAATGGGATTTAGCTTTTAAACATTCAAGGAAAGCAGCTTGGGAGGAGGCATGGGGGACACACTCAGTGGAGAGTTCAAATTCCTGAACATGGATTCAGTTTGTGGATTCACATTGGACACAAAACAAGTAGCTATACTTAAGGAAGTTTGGACATTTATCACTGGTTCTATTATACCTGAATTTTTAAATATTTCAGTAACAAAAGTCACATCATAAAATAAGTGTTTAAAAAGGGAAGGGGATTTATACTGAAGCTTTTCAGCTTCATATAATGATCATTTTTCTGTATGATTTTAAAATATAAAATTTTATTTCTTTTGTTTGCTCTACATTTATTTCAAATTAAAAATAAAAACTGGTTTATCAAAACTGACAGAAAAATAATCCTTTAATCTTTGTACACAGAATTCCTTCTCTCTCCATGTCACATTTAACCTTGAATTTATGTACATCAGAGCTGCCACAGAAAATTACTTGATATCAACAGAGTGGCTAGCCAGCCATGTACACACATCAGCTGTGTGTTTTTTTCTATACAAAATAGTTTTTTTTCTTGCTTCTACATTATTACTACCCGCTGTGGATTGGATTGTGTCCTCCAAAACTGTGTGTTGGAATCCTAACCCCTTCATCTATGAGTATAATCTAATATATTGTAATCATCTTCCATAATGCAGTGTAATGTGATCAGTCAATCACTTGAGGTTATGCCTGTGTAAGTGGATCCTAAACCCAATAATTTCTGAATTATATAAAGAGGAATATAGACACAGACACAGGAACATCCATACACAGGGAAGCAATGGACACTATTTGACAACAGAGGCAAATGAATCTACAGGCCCAAGAACTCCAAAGAGTGCCACATAGTAGAAGCTGAAATAGACAAAGGACTTCTTTATAAAGCATCACACCATGAATTCAGACTTCTGGCCTCCTGAAATAGGAAATAAATTTCTATTTATTAAAGCCATACATTTATAGCTTCCTGAGTTATGATGGGATTCCATTTCAGTGACTCTGTATTAAGTTGGTTCTGACCTAAGTTTCTTACGGGTTTTTTGTTTTTCATTATTATTGCCTTTTATTATCAATATATCTATCAATCCAATCTTTATTTGTCTTTGATGGTAGAAAACATTACATATAAAATTACAAATGTATTTTAATGCATAAATATATACATTAAAAAATACACAATGCATAAAAATCACTCTAATGATAAATAAGAGTTGGACAATGTTGACATTTTGTCAATTGCGTCAATAACTCCACTTTTGGAAAGTTCTGGATCATCTGGATTATTCCTGGGAATAAGGATGGTGTTTCTCTTAAAAGAATTAGAGAGTTGTCTGTATGGCCCTTTCTGTATTTTCTTCATATATTTTCTGGTAGCATCTCACTGCTTCCAGAATCTGTCTATTGACTTTAGCAAAGTGATCATTGTTTGAGTCTAGGTTTTCAAGCAACCAAAGCCCTTGATTTAGTTTAGAAAAAAATTTCAGATTATCCATTCACTGCAAATTTTTTTTGACATCTCTCTTGGCCAACCAAGAAATAGATAACACATTGAATGGGCAAAGGAGTAGAATCAAATCAATGGAAGACAGAATTAGTGAGATTGAAGACAAATACCTCAATACTACTTTATTAAGAGATCGATCAGAAAAAAAAAAAAATCAAAAGAAAAAGAAGAAAGCCTAAGATTCATGTGGGATACCATCAAGAGAAATAACCTATGTTTAATCAGAATTCCAAAACAAGAAGAGACAAATAAAATAGCAGAGAAAAATGTCAAAGTTTTGTTGGAAGAGAATTTCCCTAATATAATGAAAGATGAGAATATATCCATTCAGGAAATTCAACGAATCCCAAACAGGATAGACTCCTAAAGAAAATCACCAAGGCATATTACCAAAATCAAAGACAGGGAATCCTGAAAGTAGCACGAGAAAAATGAAAAGTTACCTACGAAGGGCAACCAATAAGACTAAGCTCCAGTTTCTCAGCAGAAACCATGCA